GATATTTGCTTTCTCTCTCGCCTAATTCTTAGTCATATCCATGTTCTCCCATTCGTCGTTCTTATGTCTTAATCTCAATCTTCCTTCTCTTTCTTAATTAATAATAATTGATAAAAATCTTTATTGAATTTTTAAATATAATTATGCTGATTGTTATAATTTTAATTACATAAATTTTTATAGATATTTTTTTGTTTATTTCTTACAGACTTATGCTTAAATCTACTACGCCTGCTTTCTATCCTCCTTGAGAAAATCAACATTAAGATTTATTTTTTATTTTTTATTTTTGTTGTGAATTGATTAGCGTTTCTTCATTATTATCATTTGATAATATGTCATTACAAAATAAGGGATCTTTATCACTTTGTAAAGCCTTTTAAAGGTTTCTGTACATTTGTATTCTTAGTCTTTTGTTATATATGCTATAACCTAATGAATTTATTTTTAAGGTACCAGTGGTGAGGATTATTAATGATTTTGAGCTGCTAGTAAAAGATTCAAAATCTATTTGTGGCTTTTGAATCTTAATATTGCAAAACCCTCTGAGGCGTGGGTTTCAAAGGGCATCTATTTGCAGAGTCTATTTGAATTTATTGTGATTTTTATAATATTTTAATTGGGCTTTTAATAGAATTTTTTAGGTTATGGACTTCTGGGCTTCTAAATAATCAAATTTTAGCCTAATAAAAATCAGTAAAAATCAAATTATAACCTATAAAACCTTTTCTCTTCTCTGTGAGAGCTTTTGCCACCAATCAAACCTATACGTTCCATCTTCAATTACCAGCCACAAATTCAATCTTCATTTATATCAGTTCTTTACTCCATTATTCCTTCTATTTTTTCCCTTCTTTCCTTTTTGTTTCCTTTCTTCTTCTCAATTTCTCGTCTCGTTTTAAATCTGCGACTACTTTTTTTTTTTTTTCCATTCTTCCTTTTTAGTTCTCTTTCTTCTTAAGAAGAATTAATTTTATTTTCAGTTTTAGGCTGCAACTACTTTTTTTCTTTTTCTTTTATATTTTCTTTCCTCTTTGTAACTTTTAGAATTCAATTCTAATTTTCAGATATTAATGTTTATTTTTTAATCTATATGTTGTTGTAGACTAACTAGAATCAAATTGCCTTTTTAATACTTCACTAATGCTGTAGGACTTCTACTACAATAATGAAAGTTGGTATTAAGGAAAAATATATTGCTTGGAATTATGCGACTCATGTTGAATTCGACACAAAGAAGATGAAGAAACGCTGCATGTATTTTAAATATATTTTTTTAAGCAAAATTATCACAAAAGGTGTTAAAAGACTAAAAGATCATCATGCTCAAACTCATAAGAATTTGGGACCATATTAAATAATTTGTTATTTAATAGTTTTTAATGATGAATGCTCTTATTTTAATAATTTTGATATAAGAAAAAAAAAAGAATAATGCTGGATGCTGAAAAAAGTTGAAGGAGAGGACCAACATGAGAGTGATGGGGAGGAGGGTAGATTTGAAGGCTATTTGCCTTATGAAAGGACTTCGTTAGATGATTCCCTCTGTGTCCAAACTCAAATGGGATTACTAGTGATATTTTGTTGATTAGGTCATAAAAAAATAGCTAAGGGAGTTAGAAGTATCAATCGGTCAATAGAGCGGGGGTGGGCGTTGGTGATCCATGTTGGAAATGTTTTTGTGGACTTCTAAGCCATTTTAACATCGGTGACTAGTATCACTACTAGGGAATATTTAGGCGGACTTTGGGGGAGTAAACATAACAATGATCCCATAGTTGGATGGTTGCACTACTCAAGTCAAGCTCTTAAAGGGGATTCTTTGCTCTCCTTATGTTATGGAAATAGACGTCTAACCCTTATGGAAGAATGAAGTGTACATTTGGGTATTTCGACTTTTGTTAGTTTTGGCTACTTAGGAAGTGTGGTGTTGACCCACATGCTTTTCTTAACATGCTTCAAATCTGAAGTGGGATTTTTGTGATTAGATGAATCTTAATATGATTGTATCCTCATTACATCATGGGATGGAGAGGCGCACACGGATAGATTGATTAATAGCTTCACTACATGGGTAACTTCGTAACAATTATCAAGATGATTTCTAGGTTGAAGTTCTCTTATTATTACTTAAATGGAATATTCTTTTGTTATGTGCTTGCATTTCAATTTGTACCTTGTAGTTCTGGAGCATGGGTGACTCGATGAGGGCTAAATCAAGGGGTTTATGGACAACTTCAGATTGATTTATCTTGTAGCATTGAACCATTCTCAAGCTTAGGGTAATTTCAAAACAAGCAAGCATGAAGCAATTATTTGCTAGTACTTAAACTAAGCTTTTAGGTTCAGATGAAAGAGTAAAGACAATCAAGGTTTGCTGGAATGGATGGTTGCCGGATTGGAAGGGATATAAGCCATGGACTCATTTGATTTGCTTGGGAGGTCGGGCCGACTAGGCCTGACAGTACAATTGGAGGATATGAGTTGGTCATTGAGGAGAGTAAGTCAGTTGACATAAAAGAAATACCATGAAAGAGAACTAAAAGATGTATGTTATGTGATGTGCGCAACACATGATTACTATGATTTTTGTTTTGTTTGGAAGGTAGAATGATTTGCGCTTGACAAGTGCTTGGCTCCCCTAGATACGACAATTATGAACAGATATAAAAAGGATGTGGGATAAGAGTGCCATTCGATGTTTGGAAACTTCAATTTTTTTTTCATTTGCTTCTTTCTTTATGCTTTCAAGTGTTCTCTCAGTTGTTATAAAGGGATGGATGGCAGTTCCAAACCAATTAAGGATGACTTGTTCTTGCTCATACACAATTTGTAATCCAAAATATAATTGGGGCAACTCTATTTTTTTGTCAACCGATTTCATTATGGGTGTTATTAAATTGTCTTCAATCATGATCAAGTAAGCATTGACGAAGTTGCTTTTCCTTTTTTTGATTTTAGAAAGTAAATGGATTGATCAATAGCTGCACTTCATGGGTAACTCTGCAAGGATTGGAGAATACGGGCATTGATGGTCTTAAAAACTTCAACAGTCAATGGAAATCTCAATACTTTTATGTTCTGATATAAGGTGGCTAGTTGATTGCTGCTAGCCCAAGTAAAGTCCTAGATGTTGAATATCAAAATTGCCTATCTTGGATGATATCAAATTGCTGGTGAAGGTCTGGCGTGAAAATGAGAGATGTTTGATATTGTCTGACCTGACCCACCCTAGGTTGATGCTGTAAAAGTCAGTTGTTTCTCTCCTGTTTTGGAGGAGAAGAAAAGATCTTTACTGGTGCATCTTCTCACTTGGGCAAAGGAAAGATCAACATTAAGTCGGTTGTAGTGGTTGATTTAAGAGGACGAAAAATGATGAAGAGGGACTGGAGGGGAGCATCAACATCATTGACTCCATCAATAAGAGATATTTCGGCTTGCGGAATGGGTCAGTGAAGAAGGCATTGACCAGATTTGATTAGGTTATTTGTAATGAACTGCTTGAGAGGCTTCTGTCTCTTACAAGTTCACCTTTAGTTTGGCTTCATAGGATTGACTATAATTGATTTTTGTGGGCGGTATTCATGTGATGCATTTTGTTTGCAATTCAACTCCTCAATGATATGAAGGTGAGTTGGTGATGGGGCTTACATTCGTTCTACTAAATCAAAGGCTTGGATGGCTTTGTAGGAGGATAAGAAATAGAAGATTGTTATTGCCGGCTCTATTGAGATCACACACAAATATAAATAACATAAACCCAAGCTTGTTTGCTAGCGATATGCAGCTGGGGAAGCTATTGGCATCTATTTTGAGCTTGATGACAAAGTTGAGTTCCTTCACCAATAGTGGGAGAAGTAGAGGGAAATGTTGGGAGCCATTAAGGTTGGCTTGAAGTTTGGGGAGAGCATCGTCAATCTTTAGGCAATCAAGACTTATAAGATTATAGAGGTGGATGTCAAGCAACTATGAGTTGTACATGTTAAGACGAAAAGGTAAGTAACCACCCTATTGTTCTTGTTAGAGGAGATTTTTTTTTGATATTTTGGTAGCGCCAATTGTTACATTGATGTTGCTTGGAACCTTCACCCATAAAGTATACGTAGTGATAGATGATAATAATGGTCATTAGAAGTGTTTGTTTCATATTCTATAAAGAAGTATGCACGCACACTTATAGAGAATTCACACAACTCTTCATTAAGCCAGTTCTCTGGTTTGTTTGGACATGCCTTAGCGAGCGCGTGCAAAATTCCTGAGGCTATAAAAGTACTTTCAATTAGTGAATGTTTTTTAGTTTGATCTCTGGGGGATATTTAGGAGACTGAATTATGCTGTCATGGCTTTAGTCAATCAAGGTGTGATCTTGTTAGAGAAATTGCTTCGAATTGAGCCATTGGCTTTGATATCGCTTTTTGGGTGTTTGGTTTTAATGGGATGAAAATTAAGCTATATATTCTAAAGTTCAAACTTATTTTAAACTCTAATGTGAAGTTTATTCGTGTTGGCCAACAAATAGTATTTTTATACAGCAAATTTGTAGCCTATTCATTGTGGGATGTAATTCAAATTCTCTCATCTATCTTCATATTTTTGTCTGTAAATATTTGTATTTGTGCTTTCTTTGTTCTTATTTCTTCTTATTGTGGTTATGTCAACATACAAGTATCCAAAATGGGCATCGGGTTTATTTATTTATTTATTTTGAATTATCCCATATAAAAGCATAAAATTGTGCAAGGAACTTGCTTCAAAATGCTCATTTGCTATTTTGATCCATATCTTAGGTGTTTGTGTTTTCGTGGTTTTACTGCATTTATTGTTAACATTAATATTTTCAATTTTCGGATCTGTGGTGTGTGGAAGTGTTTTTTTAATTTTACACGAAAGTTATTACGATTATTTTTCTCCCGTCCGTTCGCTGACGGGAGATACCATCAACTTTCACCCTTTATATCATTTCATTGAGCTTCTTTTCACTGTTTTTCAATCATTCTCAGGGTGTGATGAAACGACATGGTTTTAGCGGAGGACCAGCATCACATGGTACGTCTTTGGCGCACCGAGCAGGAGGTTCTACTGGCCAAAGAGATGCTCCTGGAAAGGTACAAAACGATTTTTGCATAAACGTCTATTATTTTCTTGTTTAACTAAATATGTGGAGCAAATGTACTTTGTATTAGTATGAGTATGCAAACAGTCTTTAGAACTATTTAGTTTGATATATGAGTCATATGATATAGCTTGGTTCTTTTTTCGTCAAAGGAATTTGAGGATCAAAATCCCATATAATTTTTAACTTTTTAAAGATTTTAAAGCCAACTTTTGTCTTGTCCACATACCGTCTATGCTTAACAGGTTTTCAAGGGACGAAAAATGGCTGGACGTATGGGTGGAAAGCAATGCACTGTAAAGAATGTATGGATTTACAAGATAGACCCTGCAAGAAATATTATGTGGGTTAAAGGCCAGGTTTGTTCATACCCGCACATTTTGCCATTTTAACCCAATAACTTCCATCAGAACTTTCAATTTTTAGTGATAATGAATGAACTCGTACAGGTTCCTGGTGCTGAGGGAAACTTCGTCTTCATCAAAGATGCTGTGTACAAGAAACCAGAAACCTCATTGCTGCCCTTCCCCACCTATTTTGTCCCAGATGATGAGGAAACCTTAGAGCTAGAACCTCTAGTTGCTGATCTTGGGGATGTGGATCCATTCATGGCTGCAGATTAGCAGATTACTGAAGATCAAGCTCTGCTAATTCTTCTTCTTACTTCAAATTGAATACAAGTGCTGCAGGTGATCATCTTCGAGTATCAGAACTCGTTCAGCTGGAAATTTTCGACCTGCAAATTGCGTGAACACTGCCATCGCCCAGTAAACTGGTTTAATCTCTGCAGACTTGTTTGGTTTTTCCCTGAGTATAGTGATAGATTATATTCCATAATAAATTTCTCAGTTTTTGAAATATTAATTGTTGTTGTGTTTTACTCTGAAAATACAACAAAGTTTAGTGCAGCTATTTTCTGCTAGATTCTGGTTATGTTGATTGCTCAGTGCAGCTTGCTGTGGGAAAGCAGTTCTGTAACATTATGTACCTATTCTCTGTTCTTTATGATTTTGCTCTTAACAATTCTACCGCCCCAGAGCTTGGAAGTCTCTGTCATTTGTTTGAGAAATGTTCTATATACTATTATTCGACTTCATTGACATGTGATTATGATTTATTTTTCAGCTATTTGCATTCACATACATATAAATCTAACATCTAAATTTTTTATTTATATGCTCAAACCTTTCATGTCATAGCAAAAATATATATTTTTTTAAATTTATTTATTTATTTTTCTATTTCACATAAAAATATTAATATTCTTAATTTTTAAAAAGTAAAACACACCTTTTCAAGTAGATGGAAAATAGTTTAAATGTAAAAAAAATAAAATTGATATGTTAGGTAAGTAAATATATAGGAATTGTGTGGTATTTATGTAAATATTTCTTTATTTTGAAGGAAGATTTATATAAATGACACTCAATGCTTGTGCATTTATATATGACTTACATGTAAATTTTTATTTTTTCATGCACACCATCTTACCTATGCATGAAAAAATTGTAATTCCATGGTAATATTTTGGTATAAATATAAATAGTAAAGTTTAGGGTGTCAGATATATAAATGCATGGGAATTGGTGGCCTGGTTGGTACATATATGTAAATACCCCAATTTTAAAATGAATGATTAATTAATCAATTATTGCATTGCATTCATTTCAAAATAAAAGTATGTAGATGGCGTTATTTTGTATGTATTCGGGCTTGTGTCTGGAAAGGTTTGGGGTAGAATATTCTGGTCCAAGGCATAATAGTGACGCATGGTATGAAATATGTGCTCATATGATGTGAAATCATACGATATGTATTAATTTTCTTAAAAGTGCAATTTTATCTTAATATTTTTATATTTTATTTTCGGTTTTATAGCAAATATTTTTGTGAATTTATCTTGTATTTAAAATTAGCATGTTGGAGGGAATTTTTGTTTCATCTTTTATAATTGTTTTGTAGATTAAATTTCAATGTTTTTTTTTTGTTTAAATTAAGTTTTCTTTGTTAAATATATAATATTAATAATATTTTTTTTATTAAATAGTTATTATGATATTTTTAATTTGAACATCACAAATTATGATCCTTGTTTGTCTACAAATTTATTTGATTGAGGCTTAAGTAGTCTCAATGGAGGGCTATTGGAGTTCAATTTTAAAACATCAAGAAGCAACATATACGATTCCTTTACTATAAGCTCATCAGTTAGGGGTATAAACACATAAACAAGTCCGTATGAGCTTAAGTGACCCTAATATGAAATTGATTAATTAATGATTTTGAGCTAAAATCTATGAGTTCAAAAATTGACTCACAAGCCAACTCATTTGTTGGAAATGGAAATTAAAAAAAAAAAAATCAATGCAAGTAATTGTTATAAATAAGATGATAAATAAAGTAAAGAAGAATTAATGAGAAATTAATTAAGATAAAGAAGAGAGAGAGAGAGAGAGATATCTTTATTTTTTTAAATATTTTTTAATTAAATTCTTGAATTTTAATATATTATTATAAGAATAAGTTTAAGAAATATCCTTTTAATTGTCATTATTATATGCCATCTTTCATATCCTTAATACTCTGCTTTCTTTATTCATATTCCACTTAGTACCAATTTTTGCTTTCTAACCAATTAGTTCTAATTATTTAGTGAAAAAAGTGACAAAATTTATTAATTTAAAAAATCCAATAAGGCAATTAATTATCCATCAGAGCATCTTTCATTTAAATGGATAGCTGGGTTTATTATCAAAGATATAATTAGATTATAATAGTATATATAATTTTGATTAGGCTAAATTTAATATAATACTGTGAATTAGGCAATTTGTAGCTCATAATATATGTTTAATTAATCAAACCCAAATATCAGCTAGAAATTAGACTCAATTTATTTCAGATCATTGAAGTAAATAATTTAAGGAAGATGAAATACATAACAAAATTAACTGCAAATTTACTCAATTTTAGTATAAAATTAATTATGACAGGATGCCCAAAACCTAAGAGATGAGAGATAATACATTATATGTGTTTGTGATTCATGTTATTATCTTGAATCAAACGTCGTTTCAATTAAATTTACATTTGAACATTTAAATTTTTATAAATAAATAATAAATAGTTAATTTATTAAAATCTTCCCAATGATTTCCTCTCTCAAACCTACCAATTTAGACTTTTAATATTTCATCATTTGTTTTGAATTTAACCTAATCGAAAGAAAATGAGAATATCATTATTTAAATGTACCTAATTATGATGATATAAAATAGCTTAACCATATATTCATGAATAATCATATGATGATATCAAGTAGCTAACCATACATTCATGAATAATCATATAATGATATAATGGGCATTCTCAAATTGGCCGTCTATTCTTCTTTATTCCATTTAAGAAGTTTTATATTGAATCTAGGGAGCTGATTATATTGAATCTTTTTAATTTTACTATTTTTTCTACATTTTTCTATTATTGTCGCATCAAATAGTGTTCTCATTGAGCCTTACATTCATTTGCGTGTTTCTATTCTTTTTTTTCTTGTTTTGCACAATTTTTGCTCATACCTCATTGTATGATCATATTTATTTCTTCATTTCTTTCTACCTTTGCTTGAGACTCATCGTGTCCAATATCATGCAATATTAAGAGCATTTGATGGTCCTCTCAATGGATCTCGTTGTCCACATCGATGCCTTCAAACTATATTGTTTCCCTAGCTATGAATTACTACCACCATTTCCACATATTTATCAGATATTTCACCATTTTTATCTCATAAATAATATATCCAAAAAAAAACTCCCTAGATTCCAATCATTTAAGTGTTCACTAACTATTTGTTAGAATAACCACTATCATACCCTACTCATCACTTTCCTCTCTCATATGTAAATTGGTTCCCTTATTCTCTATGTTTCATATTGACTTTGAGGACAAAATCATCATGAATGGTTGGGTTAATGGATCAACAAATCTTTGTAGTTTGTAAGTATTTAGTTACCTAATTATTGTTATCTTCTTCATTCAACTATTTTTTCTATAGTTGTTGCTAGGGTGGCATCGCTCCCCTATCTTCAATCACCTAATCGATTGTATTAATAAACTTCAATAAAAGAATAATAAATTCATATGAAAGGAGCATATTTTACCAGCACCACCACGTAATGCGACTAAGATAGTTGACAAGTGGATATTCTTCTATGGTCTCTCCAAATAAACCTTTGTCCTCAATTTATAATTCAAGACATTAACTATATGAGAAACTTAGTTAGTGGAATCCAATTCGTCCATCTATGTCATAATCAACTTTTGAAAGAACCTCATTCTACTAAACATGAGAGAGAGAGAGAGAGAGAGAGAGAGAGAGAGAGAATTTTTGGCTAATTTCAGTGCTGCGAATGAATCCACATTCTCATGACTACTTTAGCTTTGGTGTCTTAGGGTTTGTGTTTGGTCGGCCATGAAGCAAAAGACAGGTGGGTTTTAATATTTAGCATTATATTTTTTTTTGAAAATTTACATACACACCACATATACTTTATGTATTTGCATAGGTTTGATATTTAGATTTACAACGCATTGAACTTATAAAGTTTCATATATAGAGCACAATTTTTATGTATTTACATGCCTAACACCTAAACTTTTAGTATTTACATTCCTAAAACTCAAATCATTAACATAAAATAAAAAACATACCAATTTCTTATAAGTCAAATGCATATTTTTTTGGCATAGGTGCACAACACCAAGGTGGTATAACAAATGCAAATATCAATTTATTGGAGTTGGTTATATATATAAATCCATAAGGATTGTGTGATACATATGTAAATTTCCTTATAAAGAAAAAATAAAATAGTGCAATATACTAAATTCACTTTATAATTGAGCCGTATATTCAATGCTAGATAAATACAATTTTTAAAATACATATTCCCAATTTCCTCGAATGTTCTAGAATCTGATGACTCCATTGGTGGACCAACCACTTGTGATGATTTACTCCCATATTTTATCTAATTTTGCAAGAGACCCTTAAAATAAATAAATATTTTCCAACATTTTGTTTCCATGAAAGTAAGAAAATGTCTCGATTATACATTTATTTTATGATTAATAATCATATAACTATGATTAAATAGTTAGTGGCGAAGGATGCATCATTAGCTTTGAAATTCTTATGAGCAAATGGAGTTAGGCAGCAATTAAAGAATACCAAAAGTAAAAAAGAGATAGGTAGGAAACTAAGTGGAAAGAGACACTTTAGACTCTCAAGGCAAATGCAAGTAAGCCTACCTTGAAGTCAATGTTTGGTGCTATAAATTTTGCTGGTATTGACCACACACACGCGCGCACACACACACACACACACAATGTTTGGTGCTATAAATTTTGCTGGTATTGACCACACACACACGCACGCACGCACACACACACACACACACACACACACACACACACACACACACACACACACACACACACACATGCATGCATGCGTTTATGTATATACTTTTTTAGGTTTGAGAAACTTCGTGGATTTTTCATTCCGTCTTAGATTTCTTCTCACGTCTCTTTTTTTTTTAATTTTTTATTTTATTGATGCCAATAAGATTTGGGCATAACTAACAGACAAATTTGAAAGTAACACTCTTTGAGCATTGGAGAGTGTGACGTGTCTTGAAATTTGAATTTACGCGTAGAGATTTACGGAGGGACAATAAATATCATTCTAAAGATAACCTCATTAGAGGAAATCTCATGTGAGAAAAGATCTAATCAAAAGTGATCCGATAAGGTTATCAAATATAGTTAACTTGGTCAACCTAGAACTCTTATATGATAAGGCCTTCGCATGTTTAAAAATAGATTCTCTCCTAGAATCTCCCTTCTTCATTTTTATTTTTATTTTTTAGGACTTGGAGCCAATATTTCTCATATGGAATGAGTTCTTGAGTAAAAAACAAGCTAATATATATATATA